GGAATTCGCCGTCGTCTTTTGGTGGAACCGACCTTCGAATCTCTTCACCAAACACTTCTACTCGAAATGGCAGTAAGCCCAACAAAAAATCATCAATTAGTTGCGCTAACTTTTATGTCAACACGTTAAGCTTGGCCGAACATTAGATAACTTTAGGTGAAGCAGTTGATCCGGCTATGGCGATGGAAAGCTTGACACTAAGAGGCTCACCTCATGCATCGGCGACGCTGAGTCAGTGGGCAGGTTGAGCAGTTGAATTCCTCTAGAAGGGCCGTTTTGCTGGTCGCCTTGGTGATGCCCGCCTTAAGATCCATTCGATAGGCAGCGAGACTCCCAAATCTCCTAGCACCACTGGTCGACGGACTACGAGGGGGGCAGACACGATTTTGGTGCTTGACAAGTTTGAGTGAATCCTCCATATCTGCCAGTTTCACATTTTGCTGCGAATTGGTAGCTGTGGCGATGGAGACCGAGTGGAAGGGGGCAGGAGTCGTCGAGGTGTAGGCGAAATAGTCGCCTCGATCCTCTACAGGGTTTGGGAAATTGGATTGCACCTCAGCATAGTCAGAAGTTGCGGGCCTGCATAAGTTAGATTCTAAGAGAGAAGAGTGGGTAGGGAAGTGGTCCACCTCGGAACAAAGCATTTCCGATTGGCTTTCTTTGCTCGTTCTTTTGTTGTCATCGTCGATGGCGTCGTCTTCCAGTCGGGGCTTTTGGTAGAGTGGCAACATGCATGACTGATTCAGGGGGGAGGAGGTGAAAAGGAGCATTATGAGTAAGAGTGTCAATTGTGCGAAGAAGCAAGCAAAATTTGAGCTAAAAGCTGCTTTTTTGGTTGTGGTTTGGCGATAAAATCCGGTAAAATGACGGAAACTTTTAGAATCAGCCTCATCAACCCTTGGTACTAATGAATTTATAGATGGCCCTACCTTGTAAGTCTTATCAAAACAGCATCCGAGTAATGTAAAAATGGCAAGAATTGCTAAGTCTCTGACACAATCGGATGGGAAACGACATCTTAGCCATGCTTTCATAGTAAAGAAAGAAGCTGTACCTTCACATCACTTACATCCATACTCTCATCCAGCTCCGTGAGCTCGAAATCCGTGTGGGTTTGGTGATGCGTCCGAACGTAGAGAACAAGGAAGATGAGTGTAAGCGCCAGACAAGGGACGAGGACGGCAAGCGAAACAATCAGCTGATTCAAGAGATTAAAAAAAAGATATTTGGAGATTACCATTGAATAGATAGACTCATACTCTACTCATATCATAATAATGTAAATAGGCATGTACAAATGACAAAGCAACTATGGCCTCTGAGTTGCAACGAGTCATACAATGCAAAACAACCACAGCAGATGCTCGATGGGCTCAAGTGTGATGGAAGTGAAGCCTATTTTGCAAGAGATTATGTAAACGATGGAAGTTCTAGCCAGTCTGGAGGAACCATGGTTGGGGCTCCGAGGCCGAAATGACGTTAAAGTTTGACGACCTATAAACTCGCATGGACGGAACAAAAAGTTGCCTAGACAGAGCTCTTTTCTTTCTCAAGAAGGTTAGCTTCAGAAAAGGGGAGAAGCGAAAGAAAAGCCTGGCGCCCATGAATGATGATACAAATACAGAGCGGGGCATTCAACCCAAACTAATAAGTGGTATTTCGAAGCATTCAGTTACTCTTGAATACAAATGCAGATCGAAAACCAAATCAAACCAATTAATGATTGGTAATGC